TTCGCTGTCTTATGTTCCGTCTCGCGCTGTGGGTGTATGAGGGGACCGGGCACGAGATAGTCCTGGAGGGTGAGGAGGAGTAGAAGTATGAATATCGAAATGATGAATTAAAAATGATCGCTAGTGTCTATGCTGAGGTTGATGATGAAGAAATGCTAGATAGTGAGTGTCCGTCCTTGCTGCTGACGACGATGCAAAAATGAATGTCCTTCCAAGGTCTCAATGAAAGTTCCGTGGACTTAAAAATGTACAAGAAGTTGTGCCGATGTCAATGTATCACCGCTGGTCCTGTAAAGGTAGGGCCTCATACTTGGTCTCCTCTCCATACGCCATGGCTCGGCGGTGTCTCTGTACCCAGTCGACGCCATGCGTTAGACGCTGCCGTACGACAGATCTGAAGTACCAGGTGCCCACAATGGCGAGGAGGGCGAGGATGGAAAATTCGACGACAAATGATATGGAGATTGACGATCCCCGTGACGGAGCCTTCATCAGAGGAATCTCCGTCGCGAAATATCTCGATATGGGCATCGACGTTGCGAAAATTGTACCATCCAGATCCATGGCAGCGACGCGCACATACTCCGCGGCTTCCTTGGGAATCTCGAATTTCGTCTCGAAGCTCTCCTTCGTAATCACCTCGTGATCAGCGAAGCGCTTTCCGCCTGGTTCTGTGCTGCTCTGGAGGCGCCATTGATCGACCTGTGTGGCACCGTTCCAGCTGACATATAATGCCCCCTCCTTGGGCTTCACGACAACAGTCGGCCGCGTCTTCGGCTTGCCAACCCAGGGGTACTTGAAGGTCCGATAGTTCTTGCACCAGCCGAGTCGCGCTAGGTGCACGGCGCCGATGTGTACGTCGCATAGCGCTTTTCCTGCAGACGAGAACTCGGTGAAGGCAGGCGTGTGACCCCAGCCGACGAGGACATTGCCAGACTTTCGCAGTGTCTGAACGGAACCCTGCGAACCAACAGAGAACTTCTGGGGTGACACGTAACTCTGCTTCAACTCGGCCGTCTGAGTGGCGATGTCGAGGGCGATTACGAGACCGCTGCTATGCTTACTCGTGCGGAGTCTATCGTAAGCACCGTTATCGAAGACGGAAATGGTACTTTCGTCAACCCAAGAGGCGTGGTGCTGCCACGAGAAGGAGGTGGCCGCGCCATCCGAGAGATCCGTGAAATTGTTGGCTGCTCCACCAAGCTGCCATAGCACCTGACCGTTCCTAGCATCGATACAGACAACGGCACACATGTAGCGTGACGACACTAGGTAATTGCCCATGGCGTCCTGGTCGATGCTGTTGATGTGGAAAAAGTCAAATGCCGTGGGCTCCTTGCGGCCGAACTTGCCGATGGGGGCGCGGCTCGCGGCGACGGCGAAGTGATCTGAAGCTCGCCACTGGAAGAGCAGCTCACCCGTGGCGATGTCGACCTCTTGGAAGAGGCTGTCAATGAGCCAGCCGTCAGCAATGTCGTAGGCGGAAAGATCCCCACGTCTCTTCTCGTAGATGGTCATGAGAGCCGTGCCGTGGTCTGTGATGCGGAACTCGTGGAGGTCGCCAGTGAAGTCACCGACCGGCACAATTTTCTTGAACACCTCATAGGAGGAATCGAGCTGGTGAGCATTAGACCCTTTGTTCACTCTTCTGGTCCCCTCATGTCCTCCTGCTCGAACGAGGGATTGGGATTTCGCATCTCACCATCAAGTAGTAGCCCATGCCGAAGGTGCCGTTGTCGGTCCCATGCCAAAAGGTAATGTAGTCTTCCCCTTGGTACGATTGCACCTTGACGTCCATGGCCTGCCCCCATTCCGTGTTCATCCACACGAGGTTTCCCTGCTGGTCGAGGATCATGGGCCCCGGCGTCTGCACTGACCGGCCGCGGGGCGCCATGAAGAGCAAGCCGTCATCGCATTTGGGGTCTGAACGGAGGACGTTGGGCCAGGGCGACGACGCCCCGAGCGACTCGTAGTGCACCTGGGGATAGGCACCATACACGCCCCAGTCGTAGAGCAGCGAGTTGTCGGCGTAGGGCGCGTAGCCTGCCCCTGCCGCTCTCGAGGTGGAGGGTTGCAGGAGCAGCAGCAACGAGACCCAAGTTGCCGCGCCCATCGCTCAAAGTGGTCTATCGAGAAGACGAAGCAAGGAGGATGTTGAGCAGCAGAGCCAAGAGTGGGATGAATGGTGAAAAGGGAAAATGGAGGGAAGAGAAGCGAGGTTTAAAATTACGACGTGAATGTCCCGTCCGTGTCATCTGGAAGGGAAGGAACGAACAACCTTCAGTAGGTAGGTAGCCAAAGACCCTTGAGGCAAGTGATGAGCGGGGGCTCATGAGCGCTATCAGCGCCCTGGAAAGTGCCGTGTGTTCCGCCCACAGTAGCACCCCCCGATTCGTGCTTCGGCGGGCACATGCGTTCTGTAGCATTCAATACATCTAAACGCAAATAAGGGACCTACTTGCTCTGCCCCCTTTTCAACCTGGTCACTGATGGTTGGTAATCTTACCCACCCACCTGGGTGCGCGCTCTCGCTTTCCCCGCGAAATACGACTTGGCATTTACAAATGTACAAATGGTCCCGAATCCGAGACGCATCCGACGTAGCGAAGAGCTTCCTTGGACTGCCATGACGGAGGGGCATCCTCGACCGCGCAACATCGCAGACCTTTTCGTTCGCCTGCTGCATGGAGTTTGGGGTGCGCTTGAGAAAAGCACAGCCCGGTTCTGGCGCCCGACCTCCTGTGGTACTGATCTCTACCTTGCTTACCATGCCTTATGGTATCTAGGGAGGTACCTCAGGTGTACCTAGGCACGTCGGCTCACAGCCACGGCCGCACTCAGCTGCAACGTCTAGGATACCATAACATGGTGGCCTCACCACATCATCTGATTGGAACTGTTCTCCTTATCCAGCGCGTCACATTGATCCATACCATGCAGCTAAGACCGACGGCAGGATGCGTCTGAACAAGGCTGGCATGTTGCGAGCTGAGTTCTGTTGACCATATAAGGCGCCAGGCTGCAACTTGCGTTGTCAACGCAGCCTGGCCGTGTCTGCTCCTATTCTAAAGACTTGTCGCCTATGTGCTCTGCACAGGCCCCAGGCTCGCAGCCCGTGAGCCATCGACCATCGACCTGCAAAACATCATGGCAGCGCCGGCCAATGACCCGCCAGCTCTCAAGGGCGCAGACCCTATCATCCATAGTGAAGATTCAAACGGTCAATGCCAGGATGCCTATGGTCCAGGCTCCCCTCGCCCATCAATACGTACAGACGCGGACTGGGTCCTGTGGCAGCAAGTACTGGAGTCGGCTAAAGCCGTGTGCCTTGGTTCTACGACCTCACAATACGGACCGCCTACGCAGCAGGATCAAGAGGCACCTGCAAGTGATGGAGACGCACAAGTTCTAGTGCTAGACGAGGTCAATAGGCTCGTAGCGCCCGACAACGTGTACAGGCGGCGTCGTGCACCAGGGCTCGAATGGCGGAGCAAAAGTAGAGTGCGAGGGTTCCAAGGCTCTGGTCTTCTTCGGCGTTCTGCGCGAACATATCCTCCTCTTCGTCGACTTGTGTCAGCTCAGCTTGGGCACGAATACCGAGGGTCCTGACCTTTTCAACGACACTGCGATGGACCGTGGTGACGAGCCGCCCACGAATCAGAAACGCGAGGGAAATACATTGAAAAATCGCCTCGCGCGCTTGCAAGCCCAGATTCATCACCACGATGCTTCTTTTGCGCCAGGTTGCGAACCCTACAACGAGTACTTCACCGACGCGATCGACTACCTCACGACAACCCTGATCGATGTGTTACCAGAGCCCGCTGACGACTACCGCATGAAGCCAATTCTGATTGCTCTGGTGGCCAGGCTGGCAGCCAGACTCAAGCAGATGAACCGACACCTGCATCTCCCTGCCCCTGAGCTGCAGAAGGAATCCTTGATTGCTCAGTTCTGCAGCGATCTCATACCCTTGGCTTGTTGGGATTGGTTAGGGTACGAAATCGACAGTCTTCAACGCCATGTGGTTCATCTCTTCAGGGAGGCTGCTCTGAATCTTCCCAACTCGCTACAGATCAGCTCCCCTACTGATTTGAGAAAAACACTGGAAATGTACGACTGTTCCATTACGAAAGAAGTCATGGTCCTTTTCAAAGGCTACGATGGCGAAATCGGAACAGGGAGCCATGCCGGCTTGGACAGATTAACGCGACACATTGCTGCTATGGTCTACCGAAAGTGCAGTGAGGCGGCAGAGCAGCCACGCCCTCTCGCGAGGGTGGGATCTCGTTCCCCCGTCACTATAGAATGCAGCATGAACATTGAGCCTTGTTCACGTATTCAAGGGTCCAGTCGGAGGGAGCTGTTTTCCTTGGAGAGTATAGTTGCTGTCTTGATCCCGTATTCGATGGTTTCCGGCGCATTCACTGTCAGACTGGACCAGCTTGTCACCATGTGCAGCATTTCCTCAAAAGGGCTTGATAATAACTTTGTGACGTATTATACTCATCGCCTGCGCCTCCCAAGCCTCTATAAAATATGCGTCAACATATCGAAGCCTCGGATGAGACAAGACTGCAACTATATCTCCCGGGTCAACCATATTTCCATGATCGACCGAAATGTGCTATTGAAACACGTCGACGTCAACCAGCTAATGCAATCGGAGTGGAACCGCAGGGCGCGAATCCGCGAGCGTCTGGCGGTATCGCAGACATTGGAGGACGATTCCTCGGCCGTAGACGACATGTCAAACTGGAGCAACGAGAAGCGCAGAAAGATTTTTGAAATGGCCCAAGATGAGTATAACACCTGGGTTGTTGACGAAAACTCCATCGTTGTACCGTACAAGCAATACGCCTGGAGTTTCTTGGGTATTGCGGCTACCCTCGTGATCGGCGGGTTGGCCTTCGGATTCAGTATCGGCGAAAGGATAGAAGGTGTAGATCCTTTCAACATCAGCGTCTTCTGCTGGGGTCTAGCGGCGTTCATGCTTGTATTAGTCAAGGCCGTCCGGGTCGAATACTGGTCTTGGCATCGTTTTCTCCGTGGGGAGGTAGCATGCCGGTCGATTACAGAAGTCGTGTCCGTCACAGGCATGAATCCGCAGGTTCTACTGGTGATCCTGCTTCGACTTGATGATCGTATGTTTCTCCAGACACGGGGTCCATTCAACACTATGTTCCGGCGCCACACGGATGACCCCCAAAGTGGGTTTTCGATCAACGTCCCGATCAAAGCGACAACTGCATTCGAGGGGACTCATACCGGTGATGGTGCAAGGCGAGCAGGGCCTGGGATTGGTACTCCTGCGAGCCAACACTTGGGCAACATTCAACTCCGTCAAGAACCAGCAAACTTTGAAAACGGGCTACACTGCCGCGATGTCCTGCATCCAGGGTCATGGGCCCCGGATAAATCGGTGCCTTGTTACCGACTTTCGAGGGGTGACATGAAGGTAGTGCGAGTGCTCGACGTGTACGGGGCAGACAGCTACCTGTACTAGCTAGCTCATGTTCACAGTTTGTTCGACGTTTGGTCTCAGAAGCCGCTCTGCCGTGCGAGAATGCGAGAAAGCAGCGTCAACAGCAAATAACAATGTCTCGCGATGGATAGCCGATGTCGCGCCACAGCAGTCCTACCGAGAGTCCTCGGCCCGTTCACGTCAGAGAGGCCTACCCAGCGCGATCACCGGCCCAGCCGTGCCGTGGGCGACGCGTCCGGGACGACGGTAAGGGTCCTTCACGAAACGGAGGCGCCAGACTGTCGGAGTTGGGCCATGGCCGACGCAGCCGGGCCGCAGGCCAGAAGCGGGTGTAGGGCAGAGCAGAGGTGCCATGTGGTCGTAGTATATGGCTGTCGAGTCTTGCTCTCGATTCGGGCACAGACGTCGTGGTCGATCGTGAAACGCCCAAGAGGGATCAGCGAAACAACAACCTTATCTGTAGGTTGAGGTTCAGGTGAGCTGGCGGACGTCAAGCGCCCCGGACAGATTGACAATCGCGTGGGGCACACGGACGAGAAGGTGAGACGCTGGCACACGACGCCCCGGCAGGCGTGCCGAGAGGCTGTCGGGAGATGTGATTTCGAAGTTGGGTGACGAGAGTAATGGGTGTTGGCCTGCCTCTCGTAAGGCACCTTACCATTAGGTACCTTAGGTACCCAGGTAGGCACCTAGCTAGGTAGATATGAAGACGTCCTCAAATTGCGGGTTGTTGGATGTGCATGCTGTAGCAGGCTAAATGCAGGTGCCCATTCGAACATGATTGTAGCTGTCATTCTGACGATGGCAAACATGACCAGACGCGGTATCGGCGGCAGCAGGCGCGACGGGAGTGGACTGGCAATGGCAGGAGCAATGGTTGCCCCCTGTGGTTGCAGCTTCCTCTGCAACCCAGTGCATTGTTGGGGGCCGACGGCTAATGTTGGGTGGCGTGCATGGGGCTGACTTTTTGGGGCATCCAATGAGGGCGGGACAAGATGCGCACTGAAACATGGCGAAAATGTGCCCAGACTGAACATCACCATGTCCATCATCATCTCCTTCCTTCATCCTTCTGACCACCAGCATCAGCCCCTGACTTTGCTCTATTGCCACTAACCCGCACAGATATTGACAGGTGGTGCTGGCGTGCTGGCACCATCATTGACGTGCTTGACCGGATACTGGAACACCGGCCATCCGACGATTTCCGCGTCATCTGTTCTAACGGGCTCTACGTTGCATACCCACGCACTCGTTCGGAGAGCGGAACGTGCGCTCAGCGCAGAGCGAGACTGACTCCGCCAACCTTGAGATGCATCACATCCGGTATGCCGAATAACTCACTCGTCCGGTGTCCGTTGTCCATCTCTTCAGCCGGCGGCCTGTGCCCACGAGACCCATCCATGGCAGAGCTTCCGAGACGCATCATCACGTCGCACAGCGGCCAACGGCATCAGCAGCACAATCCGATGTTAGTCACAGGCCTACCCAACATCAACTGCAACAACCTGGCCATTTCGTCCCGCTGTGCTGTTGACCTCGATGCTCCAAGGCCACGCTGGCGACCATTGGCCACTCCGGAACCAAGAGCCCCTTGCATGCCGAACCGCCAGCGGCGTCATCGGCAGGGGGGGCAAGAGAGGTTGGGTTGGGGAGGAGGAGGCGCAGGACTACAGGACTGCAGGACTCCTCCAACAAACAAACCAACCAAGACGACCACAAGATGGACAGGGGGGGATGGCGGCCTGGGCACTCGCACCCGGCCAATCATCCTTCCCCCGAAGCTGCTTGGTTCCTTCGTCGCTGGGCTCCCGTCAGCAAATATGGATTTATTTGTTTCGTCTGCAACGCACGCGGCTCGGAAACCCAGCATCTGCAGATTGAAGCTGCTACGTGCCACGACATACAACGGGTTTCTGAGACCTGTGGCCCCCAACCGTCCTGCACCCCTTCCAAAGGGCGGTCGTCAAGACGTGCCCCTGCGAGACGGACCTGTCTCTTCTTCCCTATCATCTTTCCTGGTGTGGGCAGGCAGTTTGTCGATGGGCGTGACATGGTCGATTGACTTGCAGGAGGTTCGACCTCGTCAAAACAGGGTAGCAAGAGCCCAGTGAGAGCATACGCATGCCCCGCGTTGGGCCCAATGAAACCACTGGTCGCGATGGCGTCGCCTTGGTTGGCTTGGTTAGTTTGTCCCATGTTGTAGCTTCAGGTTGGCTTCTGTGCGCCGTGCACGTATGCAGGCGAACTTGGTTGCCCGCACGGTCGCTCAAATCTTTGAGGTGAGGGTGCTTCGATTGCCACGCTCAGCAAGCGACGCAAGTGTGTACACGGCTGGGGCTCCGACGCAGGGGACTCCCCACGAACTTAGATCTCCCTTGGTCTGCCGCTAGTTCGGACGGAGCCAGGCGACCTCTTGTCTGACGGCACATGGGCGGCTTCCTGATGGATGGACAGTTGCATGGATGCCTGCCTCCCTCTAGCTGCATTGCTACACCCCTTTGCAGGACCACAGGAATTACCAGACTCTATTGGTTTTGGAAAAGCACTTGGGCAAGTGAAGGGACTTCGGAAGGGTGAGGTCTCTGGGTGTAGATGTGTAGCCCAGAGGCTTAGATGTCTTTGCAAATGTCTCGAATCAGAGGCGACATGTCAAAGTGGTACGCGCCGAGCAGTGTGATGGGGGTTCACTCTGCCTCTGTTGCTGCCGGGCTGCCGTGCTGACGCTCAGCCTCCTTCTTTTTTGGCTCATCCACTAACAAAGTAGTCTGTTACCGTGCATATGGGATCGTGTGCCTTCACGCTCCTTGGCTCTGTGGTCTGTGGTCCAGGTAGCCTTGGCCTCCTCCCCTCGTCCTTCTCGCCCGCCACTTTGACGAGACAGGCTTAAGCCCCCTTCACGGCACTCCGGCTTGTACAAGGCTCAAGGCGCACTCAAATGCTCCATCGGGTTACATCTGGCACACATGATGAACAAAGCACCCGTCATCTTTGTCGTGGCTTGGCCCGTTCTGCCTGCGGTATAAGATCGACAAATGTTTCCCCCCACTCCACTTTGAATACACCTCCTCATCTCAACCGAACGTCAATCACTCCCGCACATCCCACTCCGCCTTGATCCCCCCCCCCCCCGGTCTGGTCTGAGAGATTTCATTTATTGGCACTACTGGTACATTAGGAAGGAGCAATCCTCTGTTTTACAAGATCACCCTTCGGTTGTTCTCCTAGCTTTGCCCACCTACATCTACAAGTCGTTTACCCTCCCCCCCCAATCGTTTGGTGCTCTCCTCATCTCCATACTACCACGACCGAATCGTCGTCACCTTGAAAACAACTGTCACACTCCCTTCCCGTGTCTAACTTCTCATCGTACAAAATGCGTACTCAGTCGGTTCTGTCGATTATCATGGCCGCGGCCATCGGTCGCGTTGCCGCTCAGGAGGAACCTGTCACTGGTGTATGTGTTTCCCTTGGCCCAGGGCTATGGATATGGTACCATCGTTACTGACACAATGGCAGGAGCTTGGTGACGCCCCCATCGTTGAGGGCAACCCGCCCGGTGTCGTCTACGAGGCCGTCCTTCCCGAGGACCCTTTCTTCGCCGGCGTCGACATTGAGGGCAACGTCAAGGGCTCCATCACGGCCATCTCGGCTCCCGACGGCGTCGGTGTCGAATTCAAGGTCACTTTCTCGAACCTGCCCAAGGAAGGTGGCCCCTTTGCCTACCACATCCACGACTCTCCGGCCACCGACGGCAACTGCACCTCGACTCGCGCTCATCTTGACCCTTACAAGCGCGGCCAGGCCATTCCCTGCAACCCCGAGGCCCCCGAGACTTGCGAGGTCGGTGATCTTTCCGGAAAAGCACGGCTTCGTCGAGTCATCCGACGACCCTTTCGAGGCCCCTACGTCGACCCTTACTCGTCTCTTATCGAGGGCCAGGGCTCCCTTCTTCGGCAACCCGCAGCTTCGTCCTTCACTTCAGCAGCAACCTCACGCGCATCACGTGCGCCAACTTTGAGCTCAAGGCTGGAGGATTCTGCCGCAGCCCCCCAAGCCCGGACATGGCGACAATTGCACTTCCAGCCGCGTCCCCGGCGCCCCGGCGCCCACGGGTGTCGTGCCCGAGCCGACCGAAAGCGAGAGCCTCGTTCCCGTGCCTACTGCTGCCGCCATCATGAGCACCGTCCCCGTTGGCCTTCTTGGCTTGGGTGTCATGGCTGCCGTGTTTGGCCTGTAAACGTTGGGCTTTGGGGAAGGAAATGTGGTTGACGTCCGAGGGGGGCTTGCCGGGCGAGAGACTTCTGCAGGAGGACGCCCTCCCGCACTTCTATGTTCATTTTTTGGTGTGTGTTACATTACGAGAAAGGCTCTTCTGGTTGATACCATTGCGCCCTTGCGCGCATAATAATGAAGGGGGGAGTCTCGGTTCATAGTATTAATGGAAGCATGGTCACGATGGCTGCATTCGACTTCTCTACAAGACACGCGAATATGATGACTGGGGTTAGCGAGGCCAAGGTACAGGATTCTTGTCAGAACTCAGAAGAGCTTCCTTTGAGCCCAAGGCCAATGGCCACGAATTCATGCTCGTAGCCACAGGTCCAGCAGATGAGTGCTGGCTGGTGTCTTTGTTCCATTGGACATGACAGTAAGCTGCCAAGGTGCCTCGTTGGGCTGAGCACCGACAATTCGAGATCTCAAACCATATCCTTCCAACCGAAGGTCTTCGCCAGATGGTGATCTGGGTCAGGGGCGCTCAGCCAGATTGTGCCTGATCCTTCCGCGCAGGAACCCATGCTATCCTCATGGCCTAGGATCCAGCCAAGCACATGGAGCCTCTCACGAAAACAGCATCACACAATGTGTCACAAGGGGTCCCGGTGACAAACTGCAGTGTCTAGATGCGGGCGCCGAATGATAAACCAACGACAGGGCTGCCCTCAGCTTCATGGCCCTCGTACGACCATCATCTCCGAACCCTCGATCAAGACCGTTATCCTGCTGCCGTGACACGAGGTCCAAACCGGTTTGCTCTCTCACTTGCCCCTCCCTTTGCTGCCCCGCCCGCTCCTTCACCCGGCCCGCTCGTGGCTCGTCAGCAGCCGTCATGCCTGGCACCCTGACCATCTGCACGCTCGACGCATGCCGCGATGCCACGACAAACTCCTTCTTCGGCGCCCGCCCAATATGCCCTTCATGCTGACCCGCCTCCTCGCCGACCTCGCCCGCGTGCCAGGCTGGTGCGCCCGCCTCGCGGTCTCGCGCGACCCCTGGGCCCGCTGGCCCTGGGCGTAGTCCGCCGTCGCCCTGTCCGCGGCGTCCGTCCTGCTGAGCGCCAGCCTGTACCTCGCCACGCCAGCGCTGCTGCGGAGGTGCTGGTCGTTGCCCATCCTGTGCTTTGGCTTTCTGGCGAGAGTGGTCGTCATGTCGGCGGCGCGATCGGTGACAGCGGCGGGGCCATGGACGAGGGGAAGGGGACGTTTGCGAGGCTGCCGGACGTGGGCTTTGAGATCAATTGCGGAACGGCGCAGAAGGAGGTGGAGGAGCCGCCAACGTGTTATGATCCGCAGATGATTCGCAGTCTTTGGGCCG